AAATTCGTGTCTATATTGTCCAAAAGATGCATATGTGTTTAGTTAGAGTCAAAAAGATTAAAATTCCCTTATTATTCAATTTTAAAACTTAATTAATTAATAAATAAAGTAATAAATAAAGTAATTTCTCTTTTCTTGTTTTCTCTTTAAAATTTTTCACTGCTATCGAATTTTATTAAATTTGCAATTGTTTTTGTTTTTGTATAAAACGCGATTTACAAGTCTTTCATTATAACTAACAGATTTTATTTTTGTTTTAGTAACTTAATATGTGGACTTTTTCTATTTTTTAATTCTCAGATTTTATAATGTAAAATCACGCGTTTAAATTTTATGTATAGTAACATTAAATAGAGATTTAATAAAAATAAATAGAATATTTAATCGAAAAGTGCATCTACGAATTGGACCGCTTATATGTTAGGCTATTATATGACTTGATTTTATGATTAATATAGTTTTCTTTTTGTTACAGGTGATCATCGTTGGATTTGACAACAAACCTTTTTKATTTTCTTCCATTTGCACTCCTTAAATGACTGCTTTTTATAATAATCTATCTATAAATGCATTTCTGAAGGCACACATATTAACACTAAATGTGAAATATAATTATTYACAAGTCCATGATAAATATAACTTTAAATATTTGTGAAGATCTACAAAAGATTTTAAATATGGTTGTTAATAAAATGTTTAATCGATTAACATTTCTGTTTTAGATCGAAGATTTTAACGAATCTACTTGTTGTTTGACTTTTATAATATTTATGACAGGAATCTCAAAAGTATGTGATTTTATTCCACTTGTTTCTATGATATGAGAAAAAAATGTAAAATATTCGAAAAATTATCGGTACAAAACTTGATGAARAAAKGGTTGAATGAAAGAATTATGCAACGTAATTTTTCATCTAGCTGCATCTCCAAAATTATAATAACTAGAAAATCTATAAAAGTTCTGAGTTATTCTTACTACTATAAAAATAATGTTTACAGTGTTTCAAATTTTTTGAAGAGTTACTTTGGCTTGTATAAAAAATTGATCATTCTATACCAAAAACCACGTGTTATTTAGATGGGAAACTGCATCGGTGTGCAGTAAAGGTTAACATTTAGATAGACTTGAAACTTGCAGTATATTTTTTTTTATTTATTTCGAACCGTTAGGAGCCTCYGAGAGCCTATAATTCAAAAATACCCTAACGTATAAATCGATTTTAATATGCACGTTAATTATCCATACAATTTAAAAATATATTTTTGCAWCTAATTGGATATCATTTCTATAGTATATTAATCGTTCAATTAAATTTTACCTTTCGTTCTATTTGTAATCTTTATTATAATTTTTATTTCYTTATTTAACCGTCTTTCTCTCTCTCTTAATGTCGTATAATTTTTTTTTRTTTAAATCAGCATAAATAATTTATTTTAATTTTGCAATAATTCTATGACTATGTGAGAAAGAAAAACTGGCACAAATCCAATTAACTCGGTAGGAAATATCCGCGTATATATGATTAGATGATCGCTATAAATAATTAATTATCGTAAATGTATTCTAGAAATAGTTTCCTGTTTGTCAAGAATTTTATTCTSTAGACGTACATCAAATTATTTTTCTTTATTCCTAAAGTTTACAGTCAATTGCTTTTGTTTTTCTTTTCACTAACCAACGTATTTTTATCGGCTTATAATATTAGGTATAATCCACGTTATTCTCAGAAASGAAATGATAACTGCAAAGATTTTTTGTTGTTTTGTTTTTTTTTGTTTTTATATATGTATTTACGCAGTTATTATTATTAGCCGCTTATTATTATACAATTCTATCGAAATTTTCTTTCATGAACGCTTTTTACTTATTAATATATAATAATAATAATAATTATTATTATTATTATATCATCGTACAACTCATGCTTTCAAATCAGATTCTCACCGCCTTATTTAATGAATAATTTAATTATTGTATTTACTTTTATATATATAGTTCGTGCTATCGAGTAAAGGTTAAAATTTAAATAGAGACTTGAAACTTGATGTATATCTTTATTTTATTTATTGCAAATCGTTAGGAACTTCTAGAAGTATAAAAATTCAAAAATAGCCAACGTAAGAGTCATCCTAATATGCATACAATAAATGTTATCTATTGTAGAAACAAATTTTCATTTTATATACATATATTAACCTGTGATAATAGTAAAAAATAATCTGTTAATAATTGTAAGAAAATATTACAAAAATTCTTCTTTAGAATACCTTCATTTTATATTTAATTCATAATAATATATTCCTTATAAGAGTAAGAAAATAATCATTTATTCACAATGATATATAAAGTATTTTTATAATTAGTGACATATACTTATACTTATATGCAATCTAAAATTAATATCGATAGTGCATAATATCGTTTTTTTTTATCAATTCAATATATTATAAAAATTTCTATAGAATTACTTCTAAAAAAGAAAAAATACTAACTGAAACAAAATACTTTCAAAAGAAATGACGTATTGACAGTTTATATCTATTTTGTTTTTTTAGTTTTTTTAGTTTTTTTATTATCCTGTTCAGGAATCACAGTTGCTGTTTTATTTTCTTTCTTGGATAATTCTTCGACTTTGGCAACAAAATCGTATATGTCATTTGCAAGTAAAAGAGGTTCTTCCATAGCTGCGAAATGACCACCTCCTGGCATATGGTTTATTTGAATTAAATTCAAATATCTATTTCTAATCATTTTTTCTGGTACATAAACCAATTCGTTAGGAAATATGGCACAAGCTGTAGGTACATCGATGGGGAAACTATAAAATAATTATTATATATATATATACACATTTTTTTGTTTTTACACAGTTACCATTTAATTTGAAATTAAATATTATTTATGATTTTGTATTAAAAAAAAAAAACAAAACTTACTCATCGATTTGTAAATTAATATTAGAGATGGCATATTGTTCAGCATAAAGACGTACACTAGTCGTTATAGAATCAGTCACCCAGTATAACATAACATTATCCAAAAGTTCATCCAAAGTAAATTTCTCAAATAGACCACCGTCCTTTCTAGTTTTATATTCTTTATTTGTCCATGTACTGAATTTCTCGAGTATGTATCCTGCCAAGGATACTGGTGAATTCATCAATGCCAAACCTATATAAACAAAAAATTAAATTTTTCATTAAATATGATAAATGTTTTCTCTTTGAGTGTTTGATTATATAAATGTTTTAAATGAATATTTACCAATCGTATCTGGCTTGGTAGCTTGTATATGAAAATATCCACTTTCTTCCAATAAAAAATAGATTTTATCTTTCAATGGATAAACTCTATTTTCGTATTGCTTGTCAATAACAAGAGATGGAAATAATATTCCAATAAGATACCAAATGTCGATTGGTTTATTTACGCACAAGTTAGAATGTAGTCCAGAAATTCTGCATTAAAATATATATATATATATATATATATAACATAGATACTTCTTATTAGAAAAAAGAATAAAATAAAAATATATGATTACTTTTCCGGATAAACAACAGCCATTGAACTTGTTATAAGAGAACCCCAGTCACCTCCTTGGATATAATATCTTTCAAAACCAAGCCTTGCCATGAGATTTTTAAAAATAATACCGATCTAAACAACAAGTATTTAAAGAAGTATAATTAACATCGTTGTGATTAATTATAATATATATATATATGTATATGTGTGTGTGTGGTTAGATATATTAAAAAATAAATGTTATATACATGAACTGGTGATAATCCAGGTCGTACAGCAGCATCACTGAAACCATATCCAGGTAAAGATGGAGCAATAACTTCAAAAACGAAATCTCTGTCTGGTTTGGGTGTGGTCAACAGTGGAATAATCTTTTGAAATTCTACAACTGAACCAGGCCAACCATGGGCGATAAGAATTGGTAAAACTTTGATTTTCTTATTCTTTGGTAAATTCGACGGTTTTACATGATAAAAGTGGATGTCCAGACCTAAATAAAAAGATCAATTATATATTATTAAAAAAGTTAACATTATTGAATAAAAGAGAGTATGAAAGATTCTTCAATAGATTTTAGGTTTATAGTAAGAGAAAGATAAATTAAAGTGAACTAACGGGAATGAACGATAATAAAACACGCTCATAGATCTTCAATACTCTTGTAACTACTTTCAACAGGGCAAAGAACCTAACTGGACTATTTTAACGATTACAAAAAGTACAATGTACAATGTGAAATCTTTTATTATGAACTATTTAATCTTATTCTGTACATTCCAAATCTGATAATTCGATTAGGATAAAGAATCTATAATAATATAAAATACATTTTTGCTATTAAAGAATAATTATTAATAATTTTGTCTTACTCTACCTTGAATATTTGTTACAAATTGTGGATATTTGTTAAGAAGAGCTTGCCTCTCGTTCCAGTTATATTTAGTACGCCAATATTCAATAATATTTTTTAAAAAAGGTGCTGGTAAACCGTAAGTCCAAGCAACACCTTCTAATGGTTCAACATTTAATCTTGGATTTTCCAGACGTTTATTTAAATCATCTATGACCTTTAATGGATAGAATAAAAAAAAAGATAAAATTATTTTTTTTCTGTTGCTTTTTTTTCATAAATTTGCAAAACTGAAGAGGAATTTCAAGTGAACATTTTTGTTTTTATCTATTTTTTAAAGTTTCCAGTCGTCATAGATATATGAGTGAGTTATCAGAGATTATTATGAGTTTTTTTGCAAGTCATTTAATTTACGACATAATTAGATGCAAATATGATTTTTTTTTATGAAACGTCTCATCGACTTTGTAGAAAGAACTTAGATTCTTACGTACATGTTAATTTATAATTTTTTACCGGACAAACTATTATATTAGCGTTTATTTTAATAACAACTTGAGTCGAATTTTTTTTCTTTTTTTTTTGCTTTTGGTTCTTTCAATGTCTTTTATAAAAGTTAATTACTAGACGTAGCTCACACAACAACGATGACAAAATAAAATTTTAAAATGAGCTTACATTTGTCTACTTTGAATACAAACGACATAATCATACGTTTATTATATTTGTTTGTAAAATAATTATTTACCGATTTTGGTACGTCTATCTTGAATGGTCGAATTTCTTTCGATGCTGCTTTGTTCTTATCAGATCCCCAAAAAGTTTCCGGCAAATCTGGCTTCTTCAATTGTTCCGTATTGGATCTTTATTGTGGAAAAAATAGAAAATAATAAAAATAAAAAAAGAACGTAACAATAATAATTGCTTTTTTTGTTTTTTTTTTCTCTTTTTTTTTTTAATTTTATTCTTGTAACATCTAGAAATAGAAATAGAACAGTTAATAATGAATATATATATCAAATTAATATATGATATACGTATCATTCTATTAAAATGAGATTGAAAAAAACAAAAAAACAATAGAAAAACAAAGTAGTAGCGTTAATTGACATTAATATTATAAGACATATTTCTTGCTTTGAAAAACAAAAAGGAAGAAATAATAATAAAATTGTATCGGCTCGTATTATTATTAGTATAATTATTATTATTATCAATTATTATTATCGCGATGACAGTTCATTTTTTATTTAGAATTTTTATCATGTATATAAATTGAATATTGAAATAATATTCAACAAAATAGAATATTGAAATCGAATATTGATAATTACATGTAAATATATATATATAGATATAGTTATCTTTTATCTATAACTAGACGTTGTACTTTATAAATCTAATAATAATCAAATTCTTATATCATTTTCGATATTATCAAACTTACATAAGATAATATACACCAATTGATAACACAAGTATAACCGTCGTTGTTTTCCACATCTTACGACTGTTATTTACAATGTTTAAGAAGATACTGTAGAAAAGGTAGGAGAGATTTTCATTAAATACCGCTTCTTTAATATCCTAGATAAACAGACCGAAACTCATTGGCTGATAGAAAGATAATAATACGGTTCGGATACAATGATTGGTTTCACCTTATATTACTGCGATGTTAAAAATAATGAATTGTGCTGCCATCCTCTTTTCGTTGGTATTATTTTCAAATATTTTGTCACCCATGTGATTACCAATTGTAATTATCGACCGTATTTCTATAGTTTCCTATCTTATCGACAGTACCTCCATAGTTTTCTATCTTATCGATATTTTATTTGTCGGTAATGTAGATTACTGATTTATCAAATATCATTGAAAATATTCGATTATCGATCTAGTTCAATTTAAAAAAAAAATTAGAGTTTCAATTATTGATATAAGATTTCGATAAAAATTCCATTTTTTCTTTTTCCGAGTGGTGTAAAGGGTGCACCTTTATATTCGGACGATTTAACATCGAATTTGTTATTATCTTTTATTATTTTATTTGATTTTATTTATCGTCTTTATTTATCTTAATAAAATCTAATGTGTGCAATTTTTCAGAAAAATTATATTATTAAACGACAACCGAGATCAAAGATTTCTCTCGAATAATATTTAGGATTGGGATGCAAGGTATCGTATAAACAATCCTAGGATTCAATTAAAACAATAACAAATACATATATATATATTTCTCGAAATGTGACACAGTAGATTATTATTCCATTTATGTCTATCCCCAAGGTGGTCGTGGATATTTCGTTATATTTTATTTTTATTTTTATTTTTTTGTTTGCACCTTTTTCACACACATTTGTCTTCTCTTTTGTCTCGTATTTGTTTTTTTTTTTTTAATGGATCGGATGGCGACTTATCATCATCATCATCATCATCATCATCATCATCATCATCATCATCATCATTATTATGGACGCAGCATATAATACATATCATTTTATATCTCACTTCTTTTTATTTATATTTAACAAAATTCTATTTTGGAACAAAAAGCGTTTGCTACCGCAATTGCTAAATATTCTTTTTTTACTACCTTAATGTTTTGTTTTTTTTTATTTATTTATTTTTTTTATTATCTATATATATATATATAATAAGTATATATACATGTATATATACTTTTTCCCTTTTTTTTCTTTTTTTTTCCTTAATAATCTTTTGCAATAATTACTATCTTCGGATTATGGTGTCTAAACACCAAAAACCGTGCTATCGTGCTTCTTTTCTTTCTCCGTTTCCCCACTCTCTCTTTCTCTTTGAATTTTTGTTTTTTTTTTAACAAACCAATTATTTTTAAAAATCGAGATCCACCAATACTCTGTTCGTACACTTAAACATTGTTATTGGCAATAAAAAATATCGTCGAGATGGCAGTCTTGGATATGTTAACGAAATGATAAAAAGATATAGAGATTATGTTCTTTTTTTTGCTTTCTTCATTTTCTTTTTCATATTTTTTATCTTCTTATAATTATTATTATTAATATTATCATTATCATCATCATTATTATCGTCGTTATATAATTATAATATTATTATCATTATTTTCTTCTTTTTTTTTTTATTTTTAATTTTTTGTCCATATTTTTTCATCATCATCATCATCATCCATCAAAGTTTTGTTATCAAAGTAAATGCTAGTGCGTTAAGTAAAATAGTTAACGAATATTATTCAAATGCCATAAATTGGCATTTATTGTTAGTTCTTTTTTTTTATTTTTTTGTTTCGATCGATTGCCTAATAACAATGATCAATGTACACACACACACACACACATACATTTCGCATGCGCGCTACATCAATTTATTTTTCCTTTTATTTTTATTATTACATTATTATTATTATTATTATTATTATTATGTATATTTATATTTGTATATATGTTTGTTTGTTTTTTTTCTTTTTCTATTTTTTTTTTTTTTAATTACGTCTCTGTGTGTGTTTGTGTTGTGTGTATTTTGCTTTACTACAAACGCAGTTGTTGTTCTTGTTGTTTGATATTTTTTTTTTTTTTTTATTTTTTTTCTAAATTCTTTTTTATTTGTTATTTTTTTCTAAAGCATCATTTATCGAAATTTTACATAAGTGGATCTCAATATCTATTTCTCTCATTCTATTTCGCGCGCACAAAATATTTCATAAAACAAATTTATTCATATTTAAACTACGCGTAGCATGTGTTAAACGTTTATGTGTTTGTTTCATTTAATATTTTCTCTCTCTCTCTCTCTTTTTTTCTCATTCTCTCTTACATTGTTCTATAAAGTTCTTTACGTGGTTTTTTTTTTTTTCGTTATTATTAATTTATATTATTATTATTAGTTAGTATATTAATATTAATTATTATTAAATATACGCAAGGCAATCGTAAATTAGCGTCCTCGAGGGATTTCGCATTTATTCGGAAGGGTTTTCCTTATTTTTTTTTTTTTTTTTCATACATTCATTCATTCGTTCATTCATTCGTTCGTTCATTCGTTCATTCGTTCATTCGTACTTTTATCTTTGTTTCGTTTATTAAAAGTATATGCATATTTATATATATATATATATATATATGTCGTATGTATAGATATAGGTGTTAAGAGCATCTAGACGAATCTTATCCATGGGATTGCATTTTATTATTATTATTATTATTATTATTATTATTATTATTTTGTTTGTTTTTTAGTGTTTTAATTTTAAATTTTTTCATTACCATCGTTTTTGTTCTTTTTTTTTTTTTTTTTTTTTAGGGGGAAACCCGGGCCCCTCTTTTTTGTTTTTTTTTTTTTTTTTTTTATAAGGAGTCAACTCGGTCACTCGTATTGGTTTCTTTTTTTTTTTCTCATTTATTTATTTTTTTTTTTTTAACTTTATCGCGAATGAATTTAATTTACATACCTTGTCGCCGTGTAATTAATTCGTAATTAATTTTTGGTTGTGTGTTTTTTTTTTTGTTGGAATAAAAAATCGAATTTTTTGAGGCTTACGAATTAATGGAATCAAATCAGAAAAAAAAAGAAAAAAGAAAAGGTAAAATCGTTTTTATAAAAATAATAAAAGGATTGATTATTGATCCTTCATCGAAATGAAAAAGCTTTTCAACAAGTTTGTTTCCTTTTTCTTTTTTGTTTCTCTTTTTTTTTTTATAAGAAGAAGAAGAAGAAGGAAGAGGAGGAGAAGATGATGATCATAAAGTTCGTGACAATTCAAATTTCACCTTTTTCTAAATACATTGTCGTTTTTGTATGTATTGTACGTTATATGCGTGTTATTTCTCGCATTAATTCTTTTTTTGGCGATTGAAATATGAAAGAAAAAAAAAAAAGAAATAATATGTATATCAATCAATATTAAACGATCATTTTACGAAATCATTTTACGAAATCATTTTTCGAAATCATTTTTCGAAATAAAACACAAAATGTTACATTTAGATAATTATTAATTAACAATCGTTTAAATACGTATTACCAAAATTTTTCATGACTCGCAATTAATATTGTTTGTTTGATATAATTACAATTGTAATTTTAATCTAAAACAATTTATCCAAGTAAAATAGGGATAATAATTAATTAGTCGAATATATATTGGTATAGGGACTTTTTGGATTTCGTACCCTGTTGTTTGGTTTCAATGAAAAATTCATTCAAATTACACGCATACACACACGCGCACATCTATGTTTTATCTCTCTCTTTCTTTCTTTTATTATTTTCCGATAAGTTGAACAAAATATCTACACTTTTTCGACTTAGCATTGCATAAGTATATATTTTTTTTTATATATTCAGCCAAAAGTGTCACGTTAATTAACATTTATGTTAATATTAATTATTGCTCGTCAAAGAAATATTTTTTCACGGTCAAAATCAGGTTTCTTCTTTTTTTTTAAATGCTTTTCCATAAACTCACGAATGAGGAATCTTTTTGTTTTTGTTTATATAAAAACAAAAAAATACGAAAACGTAGAGTCAGTGAATTTTGGCTGAACATAATATTAAATAATATATTATTATAATAACAATAATAATAATAATTTCAACGGAAGGAAGAATAAATGACAAAATTATTACACACGTCCTCCCTTATTTACATAAGTGCGTAAAATGTAAAATAATATTCGATTGAACGTACATAAAATCTGTACAAGAAAATAATCATTATTTATATATATAGCGTGTACATATTTTTTTGATATAATATG